GTACTCTTCACAAGTTGGACTTTCTTTAATGCCACACCAAAACATAGAAAATATCACCCCGACCCCCCACAAATAACTCAAATCAGTAGTTTTTCCAAATAAAGCCTCTGGTGCTGTGTAATTGAAGTTAGCATCTTTCTCGTTAGTACTGAATTCCATTTCAAATAAAAATTTGAGAGTTGGGAATGGGGAAGATATGTTGTGGAATTTGAAGAATTGGACTTGGGAGACTCTTGTCCTTAACTGGTGTTTACTCTTCACGACATATTGAAGTGCGGAAACGATATCGAAGATGAAGGCGTTGTTCAAATCGGTATTACTTTGATCGATTTTTAAAGTGCCATATCTCGAGAACTGTGCATTACTCCCCTTAAAGACGTACCACATTTCGTTTAAAGAAGGGACGGGGAAATATGATTTCAGTTCAAGTACATTTTCATGTTGAAAACTTAATAAGACTTGCAACTCTGACACAACAAAGTCTAAGTCTTCCGGTTGAGTGATGTGGTACTCTACACGTCACTGATATATTCTCTTAAGTTTATTTATTATTGCAGAATCTATTTCTTTCTTTCATTAACAAACTCTTAACTATATTCCATGTTCTTTTCTCTTCTTCAAAGGAATCACACTCATACACTGAACACTCCGGAACGTTATTACACGCCGGTCTGGAGTACACAAATTTGAAATTCGAGTATTTCAACTCCTCTGACATCAAAAGTGTTTTCTAGTTGATTGATTTCTTTATCGACTTCAACTGATTTCATAAAATAGGGTTCATTGTATCTCATTCATTATACCGGAAAAAACTAACTTGTTTTGTTAACAAAATATCATACAGAAAAAATGAATTGAATATTTCATTCCGGTATATTTTTCGTTCTTGATTTGTCTTTATTGTTCTTCAATGGAATACCAAACTATACTTAAATAATTAATTTTATTATATATTAATAGTTATATGAAATACTATTAATCTTTAGTTACAAATACTAACTCAATTACTAATACTCTTTTTATTAGTATAAAACTATTAATAATAGTATAATAGTATTAATAAATTACACGTCTTAATTACACTAACAACAGTGGTTCAAGAGCATCTCTAAGAGATTCTATTGTGATCCTGTCAGATGGTTCTTCTGACCAACACTTTTTAATGAGGTCATACATATCTTGCTCCATGTTCTCCAATTTTGGTCTTCGATTTCCAGCATTCACAAAATCGGCGATGTCCCATGGATATACAAAAATGGTAGAGGGGTAAGCCTCTTGCCACCCAAAGCACTCATACATGGTAATTGCGAATGAAAAGATGTCTGCGGGCTTCTTGTACTTCTGTTTGTTGAGGATCTCGGGAGCCATATACACCTGCTAGTTATTTTTTATAATATAATTATAGTATATTTATAGTATTTGTTTGTAATTTGATTCTATTAAGGAATAATATAATAATTATAATTTAATAGAAAACTCTCTTGAACTGAATTGAAGAAAAACAAACGGGTGTGCCAATTCCTTTGGTGAAGGTCATGTTCGTCATTAACATATTAATATTTCGACTCGACCCGAAATCAGTCAGTTTGGCATTGACTGCGATATTACTTTCCAATGAAACAACTAAGAGATTATCTGGTTTAATATCACGATGTAAGATATCATTCATGTGTAAATACATTATTCCTTTCGTTCCGTCATACACAATCTTCCTTTTCATTTTCTCACATATTGGCGCCTCTCTTTTTTTCTTCATTAAATCCATTAAACTCCCGTATGGCGCATATTCCGTTACTATCGCAAGTCTTTTTCTAACCAACACTGCACCATAGAAATACACTATATACTCGCTGCGGAACTTTTCAAGCATAATAACTTCCAGTTGAAACTCATTATAAGCTTCTTTGGTTCCGTCGGACTGTTTCATCCTTTTCACTGCAACGGTATTCCCTCGGTAATGTCCCAAGAAGACTATCCCAAAACCTCCTTCCCCCAATTTCTTCTCTTCTTGAATCTCGTTCGGGTCTAATCTCGATGAGAGCAGCGTTTCGCCTTTCAGCGTGATTGAGATTTTCTTCTCTTTGTTGCTGTGATATAGTTTCATGAATAGTATAAATATACTATCTATTGTACACGTGTACCGCGCCGTGATGTATATCTCAAACTCACACGCCTCTCCTTTCCGAAGCGTCACTACCTCCGGTATAACTCGAAATCGTATCTTTTCCTCACTCTTTTTTAAGATCTGATACTTCGCAACACGACTGCTGCTGTTGCCCACACAAAACAGGTGTCTTGTCTCTTCACATACGGGAAATTCTGGAACATCTTCATTAAGGTCAATGGTCGTCTTACTTACACTGATCCCTTTGACAACCTCCGTAAACTTGATGTTGGAACGACTCATCTTGAATATTGTCATTTGCCCAAGAACCGACTTGTTTCTCAATCTATTAAGTAATAGTTTTATTACTAGAATTATTACTAGAATCACTATAGTTACAATTACCAATAAGAATAGTATAAATAGGACTATGACCCACCACACGGCGGATTTTTGGCAATACACCCCATTCACGCTGGGCTTATGCCAAAAGGAACACCTCGCACATTTTGAGTCCTCTGCTTTTAAACACCCACTTATGTTTGAGAAATACACACAGAGATGACTTGATAAAACATATTGAGATCTACACGATGTACACCTACTTGCAGACTCACATGTGAAACAAGGATCAACGCACGCCTGACACTGATTACTTTTGTATATGTAGTATCCACTCTTGCAGCTCGTACACCCCGAATGCACCACTTCATTTGCACAACCTTGAATAACACTCCGAGGAACACACTCAAATTCTTCTGTTCGGAAATTAGTTGAGTTGCACGTGATGCACGAATTCTCGTTACTGCACGTCCCACATTCAATCGCACACATTTCACACGAAAGACCGATTCTATAATACCCATCTCGACATTCATAACACCCATTTCCAAATATCGAAAACGTCTTGCAACTCTTAGTCAATTTGTCATTTGACTGACACCTATTTTGACTAAGATATTTCCCCACTGGACAGGATGTACAATTCAGAGAAGTCGTCGAACACGTCAGACACTCCGAGTCACAGGGCAGACAATTATTAGAATCATTAAGGTAATACCCACCTGTACATCTATAACACCCAGACGTCGTGTGGAAGTCACATACAGTATTAGTCGAGATGTTACAAATCTGGTCACTCCACAGATAAGTATCAGGAGAACATAACAAACACTTTTCTTGTGAAAGAGAGGAGCAGCCGGAAATTAGTGTAACACACTGCCCACTCACATCTGCTGTTTCAGTGGTGTGACACTTTTCTGATTTGCACGTGTAATTTGAAAGAAGGGAATATCCACTGTCACACTTTTCACAATGTGAGGAACAGAACACACAACTTTCTGTGAGTGTGTCACACAAATCACATTTTGTGTCGTGCAGGAAAAATCCTTGTGAGCACGCGACGATGTGTTCGGGCGTGAAAATTGAAGCATTTGATGGTAATTGAACGCATTTGCCATTTTCGTTGATCACATTTTGTAGTGGGGAACAAAATGCGCAAATTTCTGTATTTGTAACACTGCGAAATTGACAATAGTCGTCTGATTCAATACACCCGTCATACACATTTTCATAGCCATCCGCACATTTCAAGCATCCGTGACCATCAGCTAATACACAATGATCATCAACGACACATTTCCCATCTCTCAAAATGCTCTTTTTGTCACAGAAAATGCAATTTGTGATATTATCATTTTCACATCGGTAACAATTGGGATCGTGACATGCTACACATGTTTTGTTGACACTATCAAAAGCACCAGAAGAACAAGAAACTCGATGTAAACACGTAAATTGTGTACCAAGAGCAAGCCCATAATCACATAACATGCCTTTGTAACTAAAAGCTTGTACAGAGTGGATGAGAACAGGAACAGTGAGTGTTGAAAATGAAAAAGTGACCAACTCAAACACCTCAATTTTAACTTCAAAAGTGTTTACATTTGTGAGTGACAATTTTGTGTTATTGAGAAAAATCACATTTTGTACTTCGTCACATTTTACTTCATTTTTGTCGACACGTTTTAAAGTTAAATAATTGTTTGCTTCATTATAAAAAGTGCTATATATTTTGTCAAATTCCATAACAGATGAAATCGGTGCAAAGTAGCACGTTTCTGTTTCACACGGACAAAACGGTTCCACGAAATTTGCAGATGAAAATTTTAATTCTGAGAAATGACAGTAAAATGAAGTTGGAGTTCCACCATAAGCCAAAATTTGGTTATTTTGAATTAATTTGAATTTTGAAGTGATTCCCAGGACTGTTAGTACGTCTCCCTTTTTAGCAACAGCAAAGATGAAGTTTTGTGAGGAAGTAACAGTGACTGATGTCAAATCAATTATTTTTGTGACAAACAATGGGACGTTCACATAAGATCTTGGGGATACAGTGACTTTACACGACGGGACTGTCACATTTTCCGATTCTATAGAATTCCATCCAACTATATTTATAGTTCCCGAGTCGCACAACAAATTTGTCACAACAAGAGATACAATGGAGTTGTTACTGTTCAATTGAATTATACCGGAACTCGAGACTGAAATTATTTGAGCAGATATCAAACTCTTCTCGTTAAGTGTCAGAGAGGAATCGACATATACTACACCCGAGCAGTTCATCACTGAGTTTCCGTTTAAAGTGTACGTCGACTGAAGATAAAAAATAGGAGCACTTACCACACTCCAGTCGTTCTGTGTTATCTTGCCCGAACTAATAGTAAGGATATTTCCCTCCACAATGAGTTGAGTAGTTTCATATAACAGAAGACTTCCCCCATGGACACGAAGAACACGAGAAACACTAATCGAGGAGGAGTCATACACTTTCATGATTCCATCGATCATCACATACAAATTGGACTTTGTAATAAGTTGAGAAGAGTTGTGTGTGATGACGTGTCCATATAATTGTGTTGTAATTTGTCCCGATGTCATTAACACAGAGAAATTGAATAGTTCTAAAGTACTGTAATTTGTGATATAGAAGTCACTTGTACTTGCTGAAGTGGCATTATCATACAAATTAAAGGTGGCTTTATTCATCGTAACACCACTTAATACTGACGAGGACATCCCAAATTGCTTGTAAATAGAAGACGACTGTAAAGTAGTAGTACCTGCTGTAAATATGGCCTTTTTAAGTAAGACAAATAAAGCTGAAGATTTCAATGTGAAAGTCGAAGTTATTTTCAAATTTGCAGTGGTTTCAAGTGTCACATTTGCTGAAGATATTTCGAGGACACTTTGATAGCAAACTTCATCAATATAAATCTCTCCCGATGTTATTTGTGATTGTTCAAAACAGACGGCATGTGTTATCTTACTGAGAAATGTCACCGCCAGTATAAGAAAAAACGCCACATGTTTAAATGTGGTTTTCATAGACTTTTGAGTTTCCAAGTCATTGTTATAATTATTATATGGTTGGTATTTTTACAACTAATTACTATAAATAATACTTAAAGTTATACTAATACTAATAATACAACAAAAGCACTTTTGTCAGTTTTTTTGATAGATTTTAGTTTTTTTTAAGGAATTGGTTACCTTCAATTCGATTTTTTGTTTCAATTGACAAAAATAAGACATTTACTTAAATTTTTTATAATTTTGTTTATCGTTTTGGTCAAATATATTAATAAAAACATTAAAATTCTTGTTGATTGCTTAAATTCCCGTTTTTTGCATAAAAATGTTGGATTATTTTGATGGAGTGTTGAATAATAATGATTTGATTTATATGTTGAGTTTAAATCAAAATGTTGCTAAAATAAAACATCATTTTTTTTTATTGTATTATAAAATATATTAATTTTTATTAATTATTGTTAATATATTATGATGGTAAGACAAAAGCTAAATTGAAACTATTATGTTTAGTAAAAATTACAAATAAAAAAATTTTTATTTTTTTTGTCCAACCACATTTTAACACTTTTTTTTACCATTTTTATTAGTTACTATTAGTAAATAAATCATATATTTATGGTATTTAATAAACTATTAATTATTACAAAAACAACTAGAATATATTAGTATATTTATATATTTTTTAATTTGAAAGAACTATAATATGTATAATATATTATATTATAATACAAAAGAAAAAATATGTAAGTAGTATTAATATTATAAAGTAAAAGTACTATTAAAATATAGTAACATTTTAACAATAATTTTATTATATTTGATTAATGTATAATATAATCTTTTATTATCTTATATAATTATAATAATAAACTAGAGTATAATTAAAATAATTGAGTCTTATTATAGAGAAGTTATAACATTAAATATAATATAATATAATATAATATAATATAATATAATATAATATAATATAATATAATATAATATAATATAATATAATATAATATAATATAATATAATATAATATAATATAATATAATATAATATAATATAATATAATATAATACAGATGTGTGTATAAGAGGTATTTAAAAGTAATAGAACGAAAACAAAGGATAAATAAGAAGACAATAATATGGTACTAGGAACACTTTATCTTAATTCTTAAGCCTTATTTGCTTGAAATGTGTTTTGCGTTTGTTGTACAACTTGTGCTGGTTGTGTGTTTTGTACGTTTAATACGGTTTGAGCCGTTCCATTGTTTTGTACCTCGAGTTGCCCATCCTCGATATGTTCCATTTGATTCATTTGAATGAATTGAGTCATTTGTTCTTGTGCGAATTGTTGGGTCCCATCATTCACGTCGGGAGGTAAGTCCAAGAGAAGTGACAAAAACGGCAAACGTGCTGGTCGAGCGAGGAAGTCAGTGAGTCCCAACAAGTTTTTGATATTTGTGGAAAAAGCGATGATCTGTTGTTTCTCGATAACAAAATTCTGTTGGGTTTGAGTGTATAATTCCGCTGTTTGTAATATAGTTTCGTTATTAGTAAGAAGTTGATTAATTTGTTGTTCCATATCTGTCGTCGAAGGGATCGTTTGTATAGTTGTTTTTTCTATATCTTTTACTTTTTTCTTCCTTCCCCCACTCTTCTTGAGTTTTTCCTCTTTTTCTACTTTGGGAGGACGAGGCTTTTTCTCTTCTTTCTTGGATTTCTGGGGCGTGTTTTGTCGCATGGAAGTCAGTGGAGGGGGAGGCATTTTAAGTCGAGACAATGGAGAGCCAGAGACACATCCCTTTGAGGGTGAAATTTGAGTAACTTGGGGTTGAGTGTATGGAGGAAGTGTTGATGGCACTTTCAATGTAGCCATTGAAACCTTTAATGGGTTTTTAATTGAAAAAAACACGAAAGAAAAAATAAAAATGAAAAAACAAATTGATTAAACAATAAAAATGTTATTTGATGTGATCCAAATTGTTGAATTATCAATATGAATTTTTTTGTGGAAAAAATATGTTGATTTTTAATCATAAGCAATGGAATAAATTTTTTGTTTGTTGTTAGAAAGTTTCTTTCTTAAGTTTTATATTTAGTAGTTTACCATTTTATGGGAGCAAATTAGTTAGTGAACTAAAAGCGTCATTTGAAATAGTTAAATAAAAAAAACATTTTACATAATTTAATGAACTTTTTCTTTTTAATTTTTTATAAGTTTATTCATTGTTGTCAATATTTCGAGATACACATTATAAGAAAGATAAACACATAAATAAACCATTTTATAATAAGTGTAAATAAAAAGGACGAACCGATAAACGAAGGACAAGAAAATAAACAGAAAAACGTTTTATTTTCTTAATGAGAAAAAGGATGTACTATTGTTTATTTATGTAAAATAAATTATTATCATGAAATACTATCTTATCGTTTCATAATTTAGACATAAATCATATTTAATAGATAATGTATGAGACCATATATTATTCATGACTTACTACATTATAAATACTTTTATAATATGAGATCCATATGCCACAACACATGATACCACAAAACAACCCTATTAGGGTTTGTTACCGATGCTCGAGATGTGGAACGAGTACATCGTCGAATGATCGGGAGACAGACTACGGGCCCGAAACATATCATAAAAGATTCTGGTATAGTCGACAACACCAAAGACATCAAATAAACTTCAAAAGAAGACAAAATGGAATGAAGTTCAATAAAGGAATAATGGTGAACATGGAAAACAGAAATTGGATGAAAGAAATATTACAAGAAGCATATAAATACAGTTGCGATGAAAGACCCAAGTATAGAATAAAAAAGCGAATTGAGTGGTGTCAAAACAAATCTACAGCTCTGGAGATATTAGGTCATATCAAATGTGAATTCGAAGTGGCAATGACCAAGATTAAACATATGGATTGTGAGAAAGAGCGAACAAACATAGTGAAATATAGTGATATGAAGGAAAGGAGACAAACAAAAATGGACTGTTGTGAATTAATGTGCTCAAAAACAAACTGCTTTGAGGAAAACATGGAACTTGAAAAATCACAAACGCTTGATAAATATGAGCTTGTTAAGGATGAGAACAAAAGAGTTAAAAACGAAAATGAGTCACTGAAAAAGAAAATCAATGAGATGTCGGAAGAAACAAACATAACAATAACTAGATATAAAAAGGAATTGGAAAGACTTAACACGAAAATCGGAGTAATGAACAAAGATATAAAAACAAAAGAAATGGAAATAGAAAAACTTCAACAATAAGTGAGAAATACTTTGCACAAATATACATCTAACAAAAAGGGTGTGGACACTGAAATAACAACGGTAAAAGATAATGATATAAAAGAAGCGACAGTAAAAAAGAAAAAGAAAGAAGAATATGAAGATCTGAAAAAGCCAAAACCCAACATTGAAGAAAAAGCCGAAACAAAACAGAAAATGGCCAACAAAGGAAAAGAAGTAATAACGAAAGAAGAAATAGTTGAAATTGAAGATCAATACTCAGAAGTACAAAATGACTTCTGTGAAATAATGCCAAGTGAAAAATCACAAAAAGCTGAAAAAGAAAAACAAGAAGATACAAATGAAAAGAAAAGTGTCAAGAAACCCAAATTGAGAGACGATACTGATGATGAATTTAAACGAATAGAGAAGAAATTGGTATTTAATGAAGGGAGTGATTTGAAGAAAAGAGAAAAAGATTATTCATGAAGACAATCTGAAAATGGTAAAAATGGAAAGAATACAAAAATGAAAAGGTCAATGAGTTTAAATTCAAACTTAATCGTTACTAGTCAGGATGATGATATTCCGAGATCAAATACCCCACCATTTGATGAGAAAGGATAAGGTGTAACAAGAAAAAACTTGAGAATGCGACTATAAATGAGGTAGTCGCAGATAAAATGAAAGATAATAGTAATTATGAAAGGAAAAGAAATAGTAATATATGTTGGGCAATAGGTAAGTTGGATAGACTACTACCTACAAAATTATATAAAGAGGAAATAGAAGAAATTTTCAAAATTATTTGCAATGAAGAAATTGTTATTGAGGAATACAAAAAAATGTTGGGATATTGTTTTCTTATTAACAAAGAAACTAAAAAATGGTTATATGAGAAAGTCAACGATATATTAAAAGGAAAATATGAATTGAAATATCAAAAAGTGTATGATATAATTTCAAATAAGTACAATAAAGAAGATCAAGAAAGAGTAAATAAGTTAATTGAGGAAGAATTGGAAAGGGAAGGATGTCCAAAATTGAACTATTATTTCAATAGAATTATTATTAATAGTTCAATTAGATTGATAAACAACTATTTTGAAGAGAATCAAACTTCAGTGAATACATATGAAGAATATAAAAAGATGATACACTTATCGACGAGAGTATTATAAAGGAAAATTGAAGATAGTAAAGGTGTTAAAAGTGGACTTAACCCTCTCAATGGTATAATCAAAATTTTAAATAAACTTGAGAATGCTTTGAAAAATAAAAATATACACAAGATTAAAATGATATTAAATATTCCAAAATATATTATAAATGAAGAGATTATAATGAACAAAGCCAAATTAGAAATTGAAAACATCAGAGAAAAAATAAAAATGCACTCAAAAATCAAACAAATTGAATGGGAAAACAAGAAAAGGATAAAAGAAAACTATATCAAAAAACAACTGGGAAAAGCTTTAAAAACGAGATGAAATTAAGGAATTGCCCGATGCAAAGGAAACACTTGACACTTTGAGTAAAATTTACGAAATAAAAAGAGAGTGGATATATGGGGGCGAACTAAAAGAAATGATGGAGACAATAAGATTAAATACTTCCAAAAAGAAAATTACCATACAAGAAGTTACATGTGCAATAAAGAATTCTGCGAATTGGAAATCACCCGGAAAGGATGGAATTAGTGGGTTTTTAATGAAATACACAAATTCGCTTTGGAAATCTTTGGTAGCTATTTACAACAAATGGCTTGATTCGCCGGATATTATCCAGAAGAAATGAT